GAAACTGCGTAAGCTATTTTATCTTGTTGAAATCATACTACATCTATAACTTTGCATGGATGATATACGTTCAAAAAAGAAATTTCGAAACACGAATACCTGTATGATCCATCGATCGCCCAAATGCTATTAGAGGATGGCATTGTAAAGTTTTTTTAATTTCAATCAATATGACTAGTTTATTGAATGATGCTGACTTAATAAAGAATCACTAAGTTACAACTACACAATCAAAAGTCCAATCCATTTTCTTTTCAATATTGCTCGCGACTTTGTCTAGGTGCCTTCTTCTTGGTAGATCTTGAAAATTCTGCAAATACAAAAAGTAAAAATTTGATTGACTTCTTCCGGATTGAAAGAATCGTCCCTAAGTCACCATGGGTTTGTGCCAATATTTCTCTGATATTTATTACGAGATTAGTGGAGCTAACAAAAACGCAACATAAAATGAGCTTCAGAGCGCTGGAATGGAATTAAGGTATTTTAAACTTCGATGCACAAGCTGACATTTCTTGAATTTTCATGTCTTGTTTACCACACTAACAGCATTTTCAGCCAAGTGTAGGTACCTTTGTCGAAGTTTCACTTTGTCTCTGCTTAATCTCTGTATCCTAAAATAACTGGCATATGTCAGTAAAATGACGTTCATTCTCACCTTTCTTCTCATGTGGTCAATTCATCTTCTCATCACGTGCGTTGTTATCAATCCGTGACATCATGTCACGCTTCTTACCAAATGGGAATGGAAATGGAAATTCTGGCTCAGGCCTGGTTGTGATCAGCGGTATCGTGAAGAAGACAGGCTCTGTTGGCGGTTGAACTGCTGTATGGTGTTTCATAAAGAAAATACTTATTTGTTTACAACTCAATCAACCAAAAATAACAGATTGCGAGACAAACAAAAGGAAGAATCAAAACAGCAAGGAGAACATAGGGGCAAAGGCATTTAAATAGAGGAGAGATGAAGGCATGTCAAAAAAAAAGACGTGAGAAGAGATAGAAAAACGGTTTAACATATGGAGCATGGAGTGTGTCCAGGCCTTAATACCAAAACTAACTTGGAGTGCACTTGGGGCAACATCTTCCAGGAACTGGTTCAGAGATCCCATCGCACTCTGCGCAATAGATTAGATCGCAGTGAACTGACGAATCTTTACAAGTACAATCATAGCAGGTTTCGGAGTTTACACGCTTGGCCCAGGTATCACCATCATTATCACAAGCTAAAAAAATTGGGAGGAAATGATATTAAATTCCATGCCACTTTAAAGACATAAGACTTCAAGGTTTGGCTATTGAAATTTGTCTAAGACCCTAGTGTCCGTATCATTAAAAAAGGCAATATGTTTTAATTTGAAGCGGCGTCTGGTAAGTTCTTTAACCTTAACAGCGTTATAAAAGCTGGCATGTCTAGTTCTCGATCAAATTCAGAAAAAAGGATGATCCTCAAATGCTCTTAACTATCGCTCCCGTGGGTATTCACGAGGTGTGATGCATATATGACAAGCCAGTCTTTGTTAATCTACTTGAAATCATATTTTCGTCTCTTAGGGCATCGAGGACAGCATATTCCTTGTTCTCCGGTCACCCAGTTGTTGCACGCTTCTATTGGCATACCCAGGCCTTTGTCACAATGGTGGTAATGACATTCACCCACAGATCCATCGGAACAAATACAGGCTGTGCAACTAGCGCTCTCAACTGGATATGTGATGTTGTGATAGATAACTTCATCTCCATTGCAAGAGGCTGTAAATGAAAAGAGTTGCAATTGAGAGTTTGGTGTTACGACGAAAATATGTAACAGCTTATAATCTGTCAACAAAAAAAAAAGAAAGTAAAACAAATTTGTATAAATCCAAACCCCGAGGATCCATCGTGAATTTTTTAATACATGCATCTTGAGATTCTAAAGAGGAGTTCATGTTTCCAAAATTGTCTTTAAGTGCCCATGAAATGAATTTTTTTTTTCTCGGTTTTCCTTAGCTTGATGCATATAAAAAACGACTTTAACCTTTAATCCGGGCGGAAATGTCTTCAAATCCCTTTTCTTTAGTTCAAAACACGCGCTATCTGCCAACGAAATTGTCCCCTCTTCCGCGCGGCCAAAACGTCACGTGATTTTCTTTCGTGACGTCAAGTTGTGTACAGCCATCGAAACCAACATGGATGACAGTGCGGCAAAAAGAGTGATTCTATAATCTATAGAATCAGCAGAGTGACACTCGCTCAAATGAATGAATGACTCGCCTCTCACCTCCAAACGTTCCGCAACTTGGTGTTTTGTGTACATAAATTACGTCACGAAGGCCGTCGCAAGGGTTGAACTAGGTCCCAGACCGCGAGACAATTTTCACTACAAAATAGTACTTTTTAGAGCGCAAAAATTCAGGCTTCAAAACGTTTCCACCGAATTGAAGGTTAGAATCGTTTTTTATATGCATCAAGCTAAGAAAAACCGAGAAAAAATCTCATGTCATAGGCACTTTAAATGTGCTAAAAAGACCATTGAATCGACTTCAGACACCAACATTTTGAAAACAGCCTATCAAATATAACCTGGCAGCACATGTACGGCCGAAATGCGCGATTGCCGAAAAGCTTTACTCTGATCATCAGAAAAAGTTCAGTTTGACTCAGTTTCTGATTGTTAGATGAAAAATAAAGCGGATTTCAGTCTTGTTACGTCACCGGTGAGCGGCAAGGCTGAAAAGCGAGTTTCGAAATGGCAGCAGCCACGTTATTCAATTACTGGCACATACGGTTCACTTTCTGAAACTCAAAACGCGGTATATTATGCAAACGCAACATCACTTTATTCTGAATCTTTTTTTGTAGCTGCGAACTTACCAGACCTCCGTGAAACTGCTCCCTTTGTCAACACGCGGTGAAACATGATGAAAAACAAAAATTTAAGGGACACATAAGATCGATGTCATAAACCATTCCCGGAAGTAGCTGTTTTATTATGGAGGGAAAGGAAAGAAGGCGCCCACTTGCTCCTAAGAAGTTTGTTTTTATTTTTGTGGAAGAGACACGGTGAGGTTTCTTAACTATATTAAAATAATTTCTGAGGGGGTAAGTTTCTAAAGAAACTGTGGTGCTGCGTTGATGGGGGAGTACTGAACAAGGTAATTTTGGTTTTATCTACTGAATTGATAATGTAAACTGGCCACCTTGAAGAGTTTCAAAGTTGACGTTTCGAGCGTCAGCCCTTCGTCAGAGTAAATGGCATTTCAACAACAAGTTCTGCTCCATAAGTGCTGTTGTGCAAGTTATTGACTCTGAGCTATCGCTTTTGCCGTTCCGAAACGTTGCTTCCAGTAAGGCGACTCATGATTGGCTAAGCAAAGGCAGTGAATGTTTTCACAGGATATTTTCGCTCCGAAAGTTCCAGGAACCGTAGGGCTCTAATAGAAAGGTGTCTCTCCCGGAACACACACAAAGCAGTGTCATGGTAATTAAGAAGAAAACCCACGACTGAAAGATGTTGTTTTTTCAGTCAGTGAAAGAGATATACTTACTGATAAAAAATTATATTTATTCCGAGTTTTTCTAACAGCAGTCGAAATTATGCGTTTTTAATATAATTACCAAGAGAGAAAAAAGAATAGTATTTTGCTCAAGTAACTTACCTTGCTGACGGAGCGACTCTCCAGAGCTGAAAACAGACAGCTAAAGAAAACAACTGCAACGATGAATTTGAGAGCCATTTTCGTACCTCGTGTGCAGTCTACAAGGAGAAACTAAAATTCTGTTAGTCGTGGTCGTTCATTTTTTGGTTACAGTTACCTTTTACAAGGTCTAAGTATTAAAAATCAGCATGACCGGTAAATTTATCCACTAGCAAGTAACTACGTTTGCTTAAATTGACCTTTTGTGTAGCAGTGGTTATGTACCGAAAAGAATGTATTGTTTACTCAGCCGTAGCGCGGGCATAAAACACTGACCGGTTTGGTACAGTCAAACCTCGATGACTCTTCAACTACCCGGACCCTCAGCTATCCGATTCTTCGATTATCCGGACTTGCTTGTCTGTTCCCATTTTTTTAATGAATATCAACTAGTCACATAAGCGTTCCCTAACAAACTTTTTTTTCCCTCACACAAAGCACACGTAATGGAACTCCAGTTGAAACTAAATTTGTTCCGCTTTTCGAGCTGTTGAAAATTCAATGAAGTGTCTAACGTGTTAACCTCTAAATACATTTTAAAAGCTGTTTCTCTCAGCTACATTATTGTAAAATTAAGTGGATTTCAAATAGCACTAACCGAGGGCTATTCATTCTTCAACACATTAATTTTCTTACCTTCGACTAATTTGGAACCAAACACCAGTCCAAGAGTATGTAACGTTTCCTCGACCAACGATAAGTGAACTTAGCAACCTACTAAACGGACAATTACTTAAAGGTAAAATTTGCAAAGCAGAATGACAAAAATTAATGAAATCAATTAATTTTAATATCTAAGCAGAGAGGTTCTCAATAACCATGTGTTTAGAAGTCAAAGGACTGACTTACTTGTTTCAATTTTTTAAATCAAAAGAATACGCTAAACGACACATGAATAGCTTTGTAGTGACATTTTCGCAGTTTCTTATGTCAAAATAGCTTAGGAGGTAAAACAGACAGTGCAGAACGTCTTTGTCAATAAAGAGAAAACTCATTTTGATATTCATTGCTGAGGCTCATATCGAACCTTATCTCATCTATTCAAATTCTAAATTCAATGCGATAAATTTAAGTTCGTCAATTTAAGCGGAGATAGATAAATGAAAATCAACTTATAAAACTAGAAATAGGCTTTAGCTGAGTTATTACGATCCTTGCAACTATGACCACGTTTATCCGATTAACAAGAATTTAAAAGGTTTGGTTAATTGCTGTTAACTTGACGAATGTGGATGAAGCGAATCGTACGTCACCCCTTTTGTTTTTGTGATCGGTTTTAGACGAGTTATTAAACTGTCAACAACCAAAAGATAAAAGCCAAAAAATATTAAACATCGAAGGTGTAATTTTAAAATTGGGGTTAAGTTTGTTTCCAAATTCAAAGTCGTTAAGAATAAAACTAATTTCCGTGTCTAACTGCCGATGAGGAAAAATMYYYAAWTTWYGYAA